AAATATAATGAAGATGATAATATAATAATTAATGATATTAGTTAATGTAATTTAGAAGTTTTAACATACATGTATTTGTCTTACAGATCTTTGCTCTGATTATTTTTATGCATTGTTTTATCCTGTTATGATGATGACTGTGTTGGATATTATGGCGGAGTATATACCGAATTTAGAAGCCTTGAATTTAGAAGGAAATAAGCTGCAGAATATTGAGAGACTCGGCATATTAACCAAGAAATTCTTAAAATTGAAGATTCTTCATATGGGTGATAATAAGGTGAGTTTAGCTAAATATGAAAATATATATAACATAATCATTAACATAATATTCGGTTTTAATAATCTCAAGTTAATTGCATATTCTAGATTAGAGATATTTATCAACTAGATGCTATTAAGGATCTACAACTGAACGAGTTGAAGTTATCTGGGAATCCTGTCTGTAACAAATATAAATCTCGACAAAATGACTACGTTAGGTAATGTATTTTTTTCAACGTAATCTTCTTTTACTGAGAAGTATTAAATGTCACAAGAAGTATTAAAAATAATCTGTTAATTTCTAATCGTGAGATAGTATTTCGACAGAGATTGTGTTATATTTCTTTTGAAAACTTTCAAGTAGACATTTTTAAATTAAGCTTAATTCTCCATTAAATTAAACATTTACTGTTATATGATACATTAAATAAAACATTTATTATTACATATCATATAAAAGTAAATGTTTTATTTAATAACACAGATAAAACACAAATGTGTAAAATTTATCATTAAATTAAAGTTTTTTTATTTAAAAAACATTTAATTTTTAAATTTCAAGTAAACAATTTATATTTGTTTCTGCTATTTAATGAAGCTTTGTGTTTTTGTTATTTGTTATTTGAGCCTAGTGAACTTACCTTTTTAATTATAGAGATGTTCGAAGACGATTCCCAAGATTACTGTTTCTGGTGAGTATATTATGTATACTGTTATATATTTATAATTGAAATATCTTTTCTCATATAATATAACTTTTTATTATATTATTACAGGATGGCACAGAATTACCACGTCCTATTGTCTTCGATATAGTAGATGCCAACATTCCTCTATCGCAGAAGATGTTTGTCGCTGTCGATGCAAAAGTACAAGAAATTGCTAAGCAATTTTTACTACTATATTTTACAGTATTCGATAGTGAAAATCGTCAACCTCTACTGGATGCATATGATGAACATGCATGCTTCAGCATGACGATAAGCATTTCTCATAATAACAAGTGAGTATTTGTGCAACGTTGCAATGCTTTTTTCTTTAACGAGATTCTCCACTTAAAAAAGTAGAAAGGAATTTTATAACTGTTCATATTTTAACACAGAAGTTTTTGGCCATTTACATCTTTTTTAAATAATAAATAATAGGAGAGAGAGAGAGAGAGAGAGAGAGAGAGAGAGAGAGAGAGAGAGAGAGAGAGAGTGTGTGTGTGTGTGTTGTGTGCGCGCACGTGTGTGTATATATATATAAATTTTGCAATAGCCTAAATGATAAAAGGAAGTAGCTGTAAGTAAAGGTTCAAGGAATTTTGATTTATTTTCTATGTTGTCAATTAATCGCCATTGGGATTACATTGTTTAATATATAATCTAAACAGAATAATTTATAAATATTTCATACTTTAATGTGAAAATAATACGCCGAATTTTATTTTTTTAATTCCAAAATATTTTTTTAACTTCATTCTTTCATATGAATATAGTTTTTCAAAATTCTTATATTTATGTTCGCGATTAAATTACCTAAAACTTATGTATGTAGTAAGTTATGTATGTAATTTACATATTAATTATAAACTTATTTTTTAAATTTTATGAAGTTCTTATATTATGTAAAAAGATTAGAGAAATGTTTCAAGTATTCTTGTATTATGAATAAATTTTTAACATTCTTAGTATTGAGTGATGGTACAATTCAAAATTATTGAATTAAAATTATTTTTCACAGATTAAATGGGTATCATTTGGAGAATCGAAACCTATTTAGAATAAACGATACGACCAGAAGACAGAAATTTTTGAAACAAGGTAGATTACCTGTAGTTTCTTTTATATCAGAAATGCCACGAACAAGGCATCTGTTAAGTACTTTTACCATGGACATCTCTCTTGCTACAGTAAGTAGCTATTTGTTATTATGAGTAACCATATCCTATTGTGTGTTATACATTATATAAAAGATAAAGAGATGTGTATAAGAAACAAAGATAAACTTATAATTTATTTTTTATTTAACCATAGCAAACAATGATGTTCATTACGATAACAGGCTACGTTCAACTTGATAACAAGGAAGAGCCTATTATCTATTATTTCAACCGAACATTTATAATTGTCCCGAAGGATGAAGGATATTATATTCAGAATGAACAGTTGCATATTAGTCAGCTACCTGAGTCGCAATTAACGAAATTGCACCAGCAACTGAATCAGTTAGAAAATCAACAAATTCAATCGGAAACGCCGGCCCTGAGTTCAGTAGAAGTAACGAATTTCGTGGCAACGGAACTCAGTGATGAAATGAAGCAACAGATGACGTTAACGTTAAGTCAACAAACAAATATGAATCTGGAATGGAGCTTGAAATGCTTACAAGATACGCAGTGGAACTATGACAATGCAGTCTCTGCCTTTATTTTAAATCGTGAACAGATACCATCACAAGCGTTTACGAAGTAAATATGTAAATAAGAAAATTCATTACTGTGATAATAACTTGTAAGAAAAGTTCGAGCTTCTTGTAAAATGCCAAACTCCATTTCATTTCATTTCGTTTATATTGCATTTGTTTCCTACGGGTATATTTATTTTTATTTGATATAGAATGTCTAAATAGAGCATCTGGATATTTATGTTACTTTCGTATTTTTTCAACGAGGAATAATTATTAATTTTTACAGAGAAAGAAAAGTACTAAGAAAAAGTAATGTATATTAAAAGCTGCATTAATACAAACCTATTAGAAAAATACTTTAGAAGTATGTATAGAATCGTCTTGTTTTGTTTATATTGAACTTTATATTGAACTAAAATTGCACACAGTATAATCTCAAGAAAGTTGTTAAAAATCATAATTTTGATTGGAATTACAATCTTAATATCATATGATTAGTAAAAAATATCACCAGTAAGAAAGATATGGTCAGTAAAAAAGTTCATTGACCGCGGATACAACATTTGAATAAGAGCTTAATAATCATATTGCCTATGATTAGAAGGCCTTTATATTTATAAATGTGGATCAATAACGAATGCTTGCTCAACTGATTTATATCCACTTGAATATACTCATTTTTTCTATTATGATTTTTGATAAATTTCATATATATATACACACACACACACATATACACAGACATGTATATGTATATGTATACATATACATACACACACACATACACACAGTATGTATATGTATACATATTTATATTTGATAGCACTATAATGAAAATTGTAATAAATTACTTATATACAATAGGTTTTTTCGGAAAAATTGTGTTTGGTGAAAGCTTATAATATAATTGGAAATGTTAGGAATAGTTAGAAATAGTTGGAATTGGTTTAAAATCTAAATATCATATTAAAGTTGCAATAAAATATAAATTTTTGAGTATGTGTATGATGTATGAAATCATTATCATATGATGAAAGTGACTAACTGAATATTCCCAAAAATTTTTATTTCTTTAAAATAATAATTTGTACACTTTTTGTTGGTGCTGTTACTTGATAAGTATACGATATATAAATTAAAATATAGATTATAATGTGCATCTGAAAGCAAAACAAAGCGAATTCTTGATATATGGTTAATATTGAAATATCGTAGTGATTATACATATATAACAAGTAATATTTGTTATAAACATTCAGTTGTCAGATTTTGACATTTTTTCCTATGTAAAAACATTATTACATACTATTTGGTATGAAAAACATTATTTAACAATATAAAAAAGAAAAAGCTACAAGCCAATGACAATTATATAAAAGTTAATAAACAAATGTTTCTATCTCTTCTATTAATGTATATAATTGTTATTGGTTTGTAGCTCTTTCCTTTGTATATTGTTATTTAAAATGTTTGAGCTTTTTCTTTATATATATATATATACAATTTTAATTATATAATTATTTCTTATCACACATTCATAAGCGTTTGTAATGTATGTTACAATTTCTAAAGTACGAATTCTTTCATTTCGTCGAAAGTATGAAGTATGAACATAAAGAAAAGTTTGTTTCATTAGCGTTTTTATATTACCGATTCGTTAATACTTCATGTATCTTTAATGTGATATTATATAAATATATTTATAAATTTAGATTTTTTAAAACTAAATTTACAGAACAGATAAAAGAGGTATTGATACTTTTTATTTTTTTAAAATGTAAAAACTTACGAGATTTTATAGAAACGATTTTTATATTATAAAAAAAGCTAGATTCTATACAGTACACGTCATGTATACAAAATGGCGCACAAAGTGTCACAGATTTATATATGATAAATTTATTTTTAACAAAATTAGTATACAAATGATATAGAATTACCAAAGCTTAAAAATTTGATAAATAAGTGGAATGTGTGATATTTTGCTACCTTATATATTTCACACATAAAAAAAATCAAAAAGTATTTCTCTTAAGAGGAAAAGATCTCTCAGTTAGTGTACCTGTAACAAAAGTATTCTCTATAATTATTTATATCTAACACAGTTACATTTTACGTCTACAGATTGCATCTAAAAAATTAAGTAAAAGAAAGATATTGTTCCTTTTATATACCTAAAATTATTCGATTTCTCAAATGTAGAATTATTTATGTGGCTCTGTTAACTGAATTTTATCTTGCGCACAGATAAAAGTCAGATTTTCGCATACATACTTAAATTATAGAAAATCTCAAGTATAATAATTCAATTAATATTTTAATGTAACAAATGATATACAACTATCTTTAAGAAGATAAATAGTATAACTCTGTACAAAGCATAACCAAAAATTTCTCAGAATTATTACTTTACGTATATGTTGATATATATACATCGCAATTAAATGACTTTTTATAAATAGTAAATAGTATCATAGAATACATATTTTGTATGTCTAAAATGCTAGGCATGTATTAGGTGAAATAGGAGTTCACTTACATTATGTGAGTATAAATTATTCGACTGGAAAATTCGTGATGGATTCAATTTTTTTGTAATATTTTGCGGGACGTGTTAGTTTTGCGTGCAAAACAAAATGCAACTTTTAGTTTGTATCATTGAGAATATGGTTTGGATTTCACACCACGTATACATACATCACATTGGAAACTTCATATATCAGGACGATGTTCTAAAATTTCGATTACAGAACAATATCCTGATACTCCTAAATGGAATTTGACGAAGTCCAAAGACACTTTACGTGTCAGAAAATATTAAATTGCAGCTCGAATCCCACAAATCATCTGATACATTCAGGTGGAAGATTCAGCGTAACTATTTTGAAGGACACAGACTTCGTTACTAAAATGAAATAAATAAACTTATATGAGATCCAAAAGTTAAGCATAGCAAAACTTACAATAGTGGGTGTGACGTATCTTCATTTCTCTTCAACGAAGACATATTTTGTGTGCTTAAGAGGCAAAACTGCTCTTTGGTGTGTGCGGATGTGTTGTTAGATACATATTTAAATCGCGCGAATTACACTTATTAATGACAACTCGTGTATAATAATGAGATAATATCGTAAACGCCTAATGACGAGTAAAAACAGAGAAATAATTTATACTCACATATTAGTATGCGATAATTTTAATAAAAAAATGTACGTATTTTGACTGGATAACGACACATGCAAAATATCCAAAAGACTAATACGATACTATTCATGAACATAAATCATTGATATAATCGAAAAACTGGATATTTCTTTTTATGTTGATAAATGTGATAGATACAATATCGCTTAAAAGTATTTGCTCACTCTATCTCCTATAGTAGAATTAGAATGCGATTTTGGCGTATGAAAAAGATATGTACAAAAATTGAGACAAGTGTAACCACTTTTGAGCAGTGCTTTTGATTTGTAAAACTTGTACACAGGTGTACAAAATTGTACAAGTAGAAAAATCTATTGATATAAATGTTACATAAATAATCATTATCATTCGTACTTTGCAAAAAAAATGAATAAATATTATTGAATTATTAATTATTAATAATTATTAAAATGTAATTAATAAAGGTTAACGACATATAAAAAAAAGATATATAATACATAATGTAAATACCTTTATTAATAAGCGATATTAATGTGTTAAGAATTGCTTGTACAGACAATACTTGACAGTAAAATTAATAAAAGAAATGATATTTTATAAAATACATATTTCTTATTTATTTAAATTTTAATCTGAAAAGCCTTTTCTTGAAAAGCTCTTTAATTCTGGAAGAACGTTATTATATCACAGATTTCTCACACGATCAATAATATTGAACATAACTGAATAAATACTGTGTTATTGTGATTAGTATTTACAGAATATATAATGAAGATAGAATATTAGCTGCGTTCGACATTGTAATGCATTTTAGTTATGTAGGTTTATGTTGATTTGTGTCATAATTGAAAGAATTCGTACACAGTATTTTCTGTGTACATTGCTCGAAAATATCCAGCCGTATTATTGTATCATGTAGCTTTTGAAAGAACGAAAGCTTTTTCAGGAATCTTCACAGAAACACACGTTCTAGACATTTTTAAACCCTTTAGTTCACCGTACTTAAAGGATATCTTTCTAACACCAACTCCATAGCCTTCAAATGTATGTGAAAACTGCGAAACAGCATACAATAAAATGTAAATTGAAGAAATGTATTCTCCTAGATAACATTTATGTTGCATAAGATATTTAAAAACCGTCTTTTAGATCTTTAGTCTTATACAACATGCATGTTATCTGAGCTATATTTAAATTTTCATACATAAATGTGAATTATTATATGAATTATTTTATGGATACTTACTTGCAGCCATTTATTCTGTTCCTCTTTCTTTATATCATAACTAGTGTAAAATTTCTCTACTTGTTTATTGTGAATGTCAATTAATTCAACTGTCAACTTATAACTCACTGATGAACTGTCTGCCCGACAGTTGATCCATTCGCTTACCTACATATATATATGACATGTATAATCTATAGTTATATACGATTAACACATATATGTACATATAAAGGAAACTGAGGTACCATGGGTCATAAAAATTCAAAAGTATCTTAAAAGTAGTCTAAATATAAAAATTTTTATATCATTTTTTTTTAAATAATTAAAGCATAATGCATATTTTAAAATTTAGTAAGTATTTAGTAAATATTTATTAGTTTTTAAGAAAAAAAATAAAATATATTTTTTAAGAAATGGTGCCCCATATTCAGGGTACCATAAGTTACACAAAAAAATAGGATTATGCAAGAACGGCGACGAAAGTTAAAAAGTATTTTTAATTAACTTACACATTCTTAGCATAGTTACTTAGCATAGTTAATACAATAAAATATGATTATAATTAATAATTATTAAATAATACAATAGAAAATTATAACAAATAAGAAATAATCATTAATAAAAAAATTTATTACAATAAAATAAAATTAATTGTTAGAAGTACAAACTTTTAGGATATATACTTTCTGTATTGTTTCATTTCATCATGAATTTAATGTATGACCCATGATACGTCGATTATATTTATCATAATTAAACATTTAATAAAAAATGATAAAAAATCAATGTTAGATTATTACTTGTAATGTAGTAAGATGAAAAAAGATACGTAAAAACTTGCACCTTATACATATATGTTTTACTACAAAAACAATATTAACCCTTACCCTATCAGCTACTAGCCCATGTTAGTAGGTTAAGGATTAAAACATTTTTATGCAGTTAAAAAGTTACTATTGCACGAAAATCATTAATAATTGAGGTTTTTTTTTCGATACAATAGAATTTAATCACTGTTACCCAGATAAAAAATATGGGTAACAAAGTAATAGTCATATTATAATATCAGTAGTATAATTTAAATATTCTAGATTATGTTAAACAATCGATGACCCATGATACCCTGGTTTCCCCTACATATACATATATATTTTTTCTGTCATAAATTTGGCAATACCTGTATTGTTGGTCGATATATGTCTATAATATAGGGATGTATTCCCTCTTCCTTTAAATCTATATTTTGCGTTCTGGGATTATACTGTACATTTTCTGACTCTGTCAAGCAAAAGGACCGCTTGACCTTGCAAGGATAATTATTAGTTTTAATAAACCAATTTAGACCTGTCCAGTGACCTATGCCTTCTGCACCAGAATGGTTCTTCAATAAATTTCTCCCATATGGTTTCTTTTTGCATGTCAAATATAATACAGACCAGGGCATGTTATCGTCCAATGGAAACGGTTTATCCATAATCTGATTAATCTTTGTGTACCAGACATAATATATCAGCATCTGCCAGTGTTTGCACACCAATAGACAGTTTAGCATAGTCTTATAGTCAACATAGGAGAAGATCTTTGTCAGTACTTCGACGGGCAGGAATTTATTACAGAGTACCAGACCATTGCAATCTTTCACATCGAACATCATGTGAGAAAGAGTATCATTGAATTGCCTCATTATTTGGCAATACGCTTAACTTTATATTGGATGCGTTCCGATACTCACAGTGCTGAGATCTTCGAGAATCTTCGAGAAAGATAGTCGGCACGCTTCTATTCTGTAATCATATAGTTCTTCGCGTGAAAAAGTCCCGACTCTAACACAAAGTTGATACGACCAGAATCGAAAATGCCGCTTATGCGGTGAGTAACAAAAAACAGTATGCAGAATACGAAAGTCTAAAAGAGTAACATATATTCAATTGCGCGTTTGAAGCCAGTCACACTTTCAAAAAATAACGCAATAATACATGTAATCACCTCAGTAGAGTCATCGAGATTAGTTCAATTTTTTATGCATCACGTATATGCAAGCTGTGCTCTCGCTTTAAGACGCGTTTACATCCTGACGGAAAAGCAGGCTGTGTTTCAAAATTCATTGTCACTGAAAATGTACAGTTTACGTTACATATACTATACATTTTTAACACGCAATGAATTTTGGAACAATCCTCGTAAAGTAAAAAAGCAGCAATCAATCAGAATTTGCCCTGGTAGTCGACAATTTTTTGAATGTACGTACCACTTACTACCAGTTGCGAGTTCTGATTGGTCACTGCTTTCCCGCTTTCTGGGTACCAATCATGAAACTTTATTCCTAGGATGGAAAGTGAAAAGTGAAAAATTTCTCCATTAATTTCAATGGTAAAACTTTTCAATTTTCACTTTTTATCGTAGGGATAAAGTTTCATGATTGGTACCCAGACTGCTCCAAACTTACTAGTTACTAGAGAATCTGTATTCTAACCTAATCCTAATCGTCGTTTGCAATGTTTGCATGTGCTTAATGTTTTTCATGTGAAATCCTTCGGAGTGAGTAATTGATCAGTTTAAGAAACGTCCATAAGGAATAATGGTAAGACCTTTTTTTAATTAACGTTAATATATGTATGTATATATATATATTTGATTGTTTAATTTTATATTTTAATTTTATATTGATAAATTTTTAATATGAAAATTTTTAATATAAAAATATGATATAATTGTACTTTAATTTAAATAATTGTATCGTCATAATATAGTGATAATATAATCATATCATATTGTATAATAACATTTGCTGAAATTATGTTACAGGGGAAAAATAAGAAAACGCGTAAAGTTGTAATGCAGAGATTTGCTCAAATGAAAAGGATGATTAGTCTGAGTGATTCACGAATGTAAGTTTAATGTCTTATATGATCTTTAACAAATCATTGTTATTATTTTATAAATTGTGAAAAGAATTAAAATGAATTTTTTTTTAATAGAAAGCCAGAAAAGCGATTGCCATCGAAGAAAACTCCGAAAGAAGATAAGACTAAAATAAAAATTACAGAAACGTAAGTAATGTTACTTATAAATGAACATATTATTTTTAATATAAATATTTTTAAATTTGATATTATGAAATTATTATTTATTATAAAACATGTTTTTATACTTTGAAACTATGTAGTACTTTTTTCTTTCAGGCCACAGCAATCCTCTGCATTATTCTTTCAGTATAACACACAACTTGGACCACCATACCATATTTTAATTGACACAAACTTTATTAACTTTTCTATTAAAAATAAATTAGATATAATAGAGAACATGATGGAATGCCTCTATGCAAAGTGTACACCATATATAACTGATTGTGTAATGGGTGAGCTAGAGAAGCTTGGACAGAAGTATAAATTGGCATTGAAAATTATTAAGGATCCACGATTCGAAAGATTAAAATGTATGCATAAGGGAACCTATGCAGATGATTGTCTTGTAAACAGAGTGACACAAGTAAGTATAGACTACAGAATTTTTATTATGTTAAAAAATTTTTGTGACAATATAAATTTACTTAATTGCAATTGGCATAAATAAAAAATGTGCATTATATTATTATTTCAGCATAAATGTTATATTGTTGCAACAAATGATAAAGATTTGAAAAGAAGAATTCGGAAGATACCGGGTGTACCAATAATGTACATATCTCAGCATAGATTTACAATAGAAAGAATGCCGGATGCTTATGGTGCACCCAAAAGATAAGAGTAAAATTTATTGAATTAATTTTTTTTTCAATAGTTATATTTTTTGTACATGTACAATACAAAGATATACATTTTAATAAAATTTGTATCATATATTGATATGTTTTATTTATTTAAATAAAAATTTAATTATTTTATTTATTT